CAGCGGCGCCACCTTCCTGCTCGTCCTCAGGCACCGGCACTGCGTAGGCACTCTTGATGGCGTCAGTCGTCTCCCTCTCCAGTGTAGCCCTGCGATCATCAATCATCAACTTGACCATGGAGGGCTGGTCGTACTCTGTGGGTAACTTCTGTGCTTCATCATACTTAAGCTTCAGAGTGTTGTACTGCTCGGCGGCCTTGTCCTTGGGCATGTTGGACAACAGCTGAATGATTTCCTGCTCCATTTTCGAACCAGCAGCCCAGACCGACTCACCGTCGCACATGCAAGCGTCAACTGCGACCAATGCTGATACGGAAACGATAGATGTCCACAGTCGAGTCCACATCACGCCGTCGTGACACTGAGCATCATTCGCAGCAATCTCAGCAATGCATTTGGCGACGGTCGACTTCGCATTTTCGAAGATGACGGCCCACTCGCACATGCTCTGCCGAGCCTCAGGGTCCGAATCCGACTGGGCAACAGCAGCCTGGAAGACGTTGGCACCCTCCTCCAACAGCATGCACATGAACTGCGCACGGTAACTCATGAACGTTTCTGTTGGATTTCCAATTCGCTCTATGGCCAAGACCTTCCCGATAATGTCGATGACACTCTTAGCATCGGGGTTCAGGCTGAGCTCGGTCTGGTGTTTCTCCTCATCGACGGTGTAGGCGCTGAGCGATAGCTTCATCAAAGCGTGATCAAAGCAGAGCGGCATGCAATCCTTCTCGATGATCTCCACGATGCATGCTGCAAGCGACGAACGTGACACCGACGCGGCTGACGTCATAGCAGCGTGCGTCTCTGGTGACATGAACACATCCCAGAACTTGCCGACGGCCGAGGTCACCTGAGGCGATGTGCGGCGCATGACGACCAAGGATGTCGGCTTGGAAAGCTTGTCAACGAGAGACTTCAAACGATCGAGGAGCTTCTTGTCTGCCTGCAGGAGTTGCTCCATGCTGCTGACTGGATTTGATGGGTCGATGGTCACATCTTGCGACTCTGTGCTTCTCTCCTGCTGGTAGTCCGCCGTTGGGGCGTTGTCGGGGTCGGCGGATACGTGGGCCATGCCGTGAATCCCGAGCGCGTCCACGAGTTGCTTCTTGACGTACTTCCTCAAGGAGGACCAAGTAGTCATGGATGTTTTGGTTTGCTTCCCGCCCTTCTCCGTATCGATCTGCACTTTGCCAGCCACGCCGAACTCAACGCAGGTCATCATCATCTTGTCGACGAACTTATCCTGCTCCTGGATCTTAGAAGGATCAACGCCCTGCAGAGTGTATTGAATTGCATTGCGAGCGTCATCGAGGAACACCGTGGCCCCCCCCTCCGTCGCGACGCTGAAGACCTCGGGCTTAGGCTCGGCGACGACGCCAGGTTTGGCAGCGGCCCCCTTCTTAGCGCGCTTCTTCGGCGCTGCCTTGGCGACTGGTGCCGGCGGAAGTGGAGCCAGGGACGGCTGAAATACTTTGGATTCCTTCATCTGTGAGAGCAGGTACGGCACCCTCTTCAGAGCGTCCTGACGTGACTTCAGCACCCAGTCGACCCCGTCGTCCGTCGGGATGGCCAAGCGAAGCACCATCATCACGTAAGGCCTCAGGTTCTCGTTCTTGAGTTGGTCGCACAGCTTCGTGAGGACCCAATCGTCGATGGCGAGAATGGTGCCATGGTCGAGCGAAGGGTGGCTGAATACACAGTGTTGGTCCACGTAGTTCTCGTATGCTTCGAACAAGCCGTGCATGTCCATCTTGGTCTTGGCGCGCTTGGCCTGGGAGTAGACGTTGTAGTTGCTGAACAACTCGCTGTGGTGCTTTTCCAAGTACCGGCCGTAGTGGTAGGCGTAGGATCGCTTGTCCTCCTCGCCTTCGACGACGGCGTCTGGGTTAGCGGAGGCAGCAGCACCAGCATCCGCATCCAGCCTGCAGTGTTCTCGCCAACCCTCGTCCACGTCACCCACGGCGTGGTGCAGCTCGAGAAAGAACGTATCGGCACCGATCTTGTTCCAGCGGTTGTTCTCCACCTGGGTAGGACACGCAAAGTACGCTTGCTTGCGCTACGTTGCGTCAGGCGGCCCCACAAAAACCTCTGGAAGCCCTCGTGCTCGGCCCTCGGCCTCGGAGACAGAGCACCCGCGGGAATCCAGAGATCTCCATGGAGCCATCTGGCGCAACATGGCCCAAGCAAACGTACCGAACCGCAGCTCGACGATCATCGATTAGTCGATCGGCCGGTAGATCGACGAGTCCACGACTTGGCCCGATCCGATCGAGATCGAGATCACCGAATCGAGATCGAGATCGTCTGCTGCAAGATCGCAAGATCCGATCGAGATCGATTCGCGTCATGGAAGTGCGGTGGTTGACCCCGCGGACCTTGAATTTCCTGAGCACGTCAGGTGGAGTCCGAGGGTCAATCACTGCGATGTTACTCCACCCGCAGGAAAGCGACTCGAGTACCATCTCCTCTGGCTACCAAGTGAGCAGCCCCAGGCCTTAAGATGTGTGAAGCTGGGCCCAGGGGCCTAGGGCCTGTGGGCAGTGATGCTGCGAGCTGTGAGCTGTGAGCAGGGCCCAGGGGCTCGTGGGCCTGGCGGAGCTTGCCGAAAGGCACATGAATCGTTGTGTGGTTCCAACTCGTGCGCGTCGTAGAGAGCCTCCGTTCGAGTGGCGTGCGACATCAACAAAAATTTCCGATCTCCTCCGAATGATGTTGGTACTGCCAGGACCTCTCCCGCAATGCCTTGTTGGAGACCACCTTGTAAGATACCGTCGCGATACTGATTCCTGGTGACCACCTGGTTACGATCGTTCAGCTCATGTCTCGCGAAGTTCTTGCGGCCATCCTGGTCATAGAACTCGCAATGAACTCCAACCTCGATGAAAAAAAGTGCCCCTGCACTTCCGTTGGAGCAGCACGCCCTTGAGGCCAGGGAAGCGGTTGCCCATCGGCATCGGCGTTGGATCCCACGGGTTCTCAGGGCCCGCGCAGCGCATGGATGGCCGCGTCACTGGCCCAGGCTGTCCTGGACTCCGCCTTGGACGTCCAGTCTCGGCGCCTGCTGCGCCGCGAACAGGTGCGAGGGGCATGTCTGCTGTGGTTCTGCAGGCCGGGTCCACGCTGGTAGTAGTACGGCGTGAAAAACGTAAGGTCGCCCTCAGATTCAAGCTAAAATAGCTGCGGATTGACGGATGGGAGGAACAAGGAGGAGGAGCCCGGTCGAGGAGGAGGACGCGGGCCAGGGACCCAGGGACAAGGGCCCAGGGACTTCGGAACCCAGGGACCCGAGGACCTGGACCAAGAGAGCACGGGATCCAAGGACCGAGTGAGGAGGGGGCCCAGGGACATTGGGAGAACGGGGACTTGTTGACCAAGTTGACCAGGGACCCAGTAGTGACCCGTCGCTCGGCTCTCCTTTGCAAGTCGGAGCTTCTCACAACAATCATCGACGTTGTTTGAAGGTGTGGTCACTGGACTGGTCTGCAGCAATAGCAGCATCTGTAGCAGCAGCAGTAGCAGTAGTAGTAGCATCAGCAGTAGCAGCAGCATCAATAGCAGCAGTAGCAGCAGCAGCAGCAGAGGACTACTTGCTAAAAGGGTGAGCAGGGATGACATGGGGATGGGGGAGGCTGGACGGCAGGTTTGCTCAATTCGCTTGCTTGCGAGGATGCTGAACGTGCTTAACACAGCGCAATCGAAACCTGCGAACCCAATGCTGGCTCACGACCTAAAGGTCGCGCATATAAACATGCGTTGGCTGTGCGGTAGCGGAGCTATACGTGTCGTTCGGTCAAACGACAATCCTCGCAGGATACCAAGGCAAAGCAGAGCTTGTCTCTGAATCTAGAAAAGGCTGGCCACGACGATCGAAGAGTTGACAGACTTACGTTGGACCCTGACCCTCACTGCCCCACTGCCTAACTGCCCCCTCAATTACCTCACGAGAGGGATGGGATGATATGAATAAGAGGAGTGAGGCCGCCTCAGTGGGCGCTCTGTACCTACTTAGCCTTCCAGGCCTTGGCCTTGACCGTAAAGGCAATCGAAAAACGAGAACGCTGATGGTCAGTGCTGCCAGTACTAATGGAAACTGCATCTGCATTCGCAGACACTTGGAGGATGGTACCAGGGCTGCTGCACGACGAGGCGACGCCAGGGCCGGGCGGCGGGCTGCCCGGCTCAATTGGCTCGGCCAGCGCGACGCCAGTCGGCGACAGCGACGATGGCGCCGCCAGGTGCGAATCAAGTGCAACAGTTGGCGCGTCACTTCCAGGGCTGGATGGCGGAACCCACGGGCCCGGGCTCTGTGACATTGGCTGCGTCGGTGGGAGATCGTCAATCACAGGCGCGCCGACCAAGTCAGGCGTCGAAGGCGCCGCCGACACTTCGGAGCTGGGCTGCGCAATGAACGAGTTGAGGCTGAGCTGCTTGAACTTGTTGTCAGTGCTGCCCTTGCTGCTCTGCCTCTTCCGCTTCTTAGAGCCGCTGGTGCCAGCTGCGCCTGCGCCGACGCCAGGGACTGGAAGGCTGCCCCAGCGAAGCCTGCGATTCTGGTGGCCCAGCTCTGGGAAGGACGCAACGAGAGTCATCAGCCACGAGCCCACGACGTTGACGTGGTAGGCATTGCCAAGTTGAGATACAGTCGAGCGGTGCGTCCTGGCACTCGGCGGTTCTACGCCCCTAGAGAAGCACGATGTCGCACCAGCCAGACATTGATGGTCTCCACTGATCGGATAACCCATTAAGGTAGCCATTTCCTGAGTAGTCATGAGCATACCTTCGTCATCACCGCAGGTAGGCACCACGATGACCCCCGTGCCTGCGATCAGCGTGTGGAGCAGATCGTTGCTCGAGTTCAGGTTCCTGGACCATGGGTTCTGGCCGACGTCGTAGCACTCGGACGGGTAATATTTCTCGTACCATGCTGCGCGTTTGATCTCGTTCTTCCCCAAGTAACAGTAAGGCGCCACGTTCGCATCGAAAGGTAGTTCACCGAGGTCGGACAGGTCCCCACGCTGCTCAACAGACTTCCGAAGTCGTGCTCGGGCGTTCTCCGCGTCGCGCTCTGCACTGGTGCTGATCAAGAAGTCCTTCCAGCTCACCCCGCCGACGAGCTCCCTGAAGAACGCGCCCTTCTGGATCGCGGTGAGCTTCGTGAAGTCAGCGTCCTCGACGAAGACGACGTTGGAAGGGGGCCTCGGAATGTTCTGCTGGTCGAGGATCGGGAAGAGGTACGACTTCAAGATGCAGATGATCACAGAGCGCTTGCGCCGAGCAGGCCACCCCAGCTGGGACGGACATACATTCGTCGCCAGAACGACGTACATGTCACCCAAGCAGTGCAGCATCTCCCCCGGGTCAAACCTGGGCGAGTTCTCATGGAAGATGAGCGGCTCTTGGATCTCACGACGTTGCCTTGCCCACTGCCAGAAGAACTTAGCGTGCTTCCCGTTCATGCGACGGTGAAGCCCGAAAGCTGAATGGTCTGGGCAGGGAGTCCCCGCGCAATGTATGTGAGCTCTCGTTGGGGTACACGTCCTGCCATGAACGGCGCACGGGCCATCATGCCTATAACCCCCACCAAACAGCATCATATCCCTCAAACTGTCCGCAGGGATGCTTGAATCAGCATTGTTCCACACCTCCTCCGAACAGAAATTCATGACGTCCGTAAAGATGCAGCTCGGGCCAGCCCGCGTGCAGATACTGGAATACGTTTTCAGTTCCCCCTCACACTTGCTGTCCTTCTCGCACGCCCAGAGATGCTCACATGAGAAAGCAGACGAAGGAGGTACCTCATCACCTCGCCCCTGCTCCTCCATATGCGTGCCCACGTCCTCGGAAGGTGGAGGGGGATGGGAGAGGAGGAGGGGGGGAGATAGGAGGAGGAGGAGCAGCAGCAGCAGGATGGGAGGGCAGGAGGAGGAACAGCAGCCTCTGGGATTCCAAGGTGACTTCAGGAGGCGGGCCCAAGAGGGCCCGATGCGTTGCCTGGAATGCGAATTAAAGAAAGGAAAGGGATGGTCCTCAACTCTCTTGCGGATGGCGCTCTCCACCGCTTGAGCAGCGACCCCATCGGTGCCAATGCCGCTGAACGCAGATGATAGCGTCACAGCGCGGCCGGTGAAGGTGCGGAAGAAGGCAGCTGTGTTGTTCCGTAAGCTCCCTGCGAACAGCTTCATGGCTGAATGCGCCCACCGCATTGCGTCGGTAGGCCCGGCAACGTCAAAGACACTGGTGTCCTCCATAAAATATAATAGATCGATGTCGGGGTTGATAGGCGCACCGCGAAGCATTCCAGCACAGAATGTCGATGGGATTGCGATAACCGAAGGTATTGGTCGAGTCTGTACGGTGACCAACACACTGAAATCACTGAGATAAAACAGCAACAGGTCGCATGTGTTTGAGCTTATGTGCTATGTTGGAACTGTGTATTTGAAGCTCGCCAACATGTTTTTTTTGTTTCACAAGATTTGCAAGGATCTCATCATGCGAGACAGCGCCTCATAATCCTTCGATTTCGACCTCGCCAGAGCTCCCCGCAGGGTGACCAGTTTGAGCAGATGAAACCCGGCCCCTAGAGTTTGACCCCCCCCCCCTTGGTCAAACTGGGCAGTTTGATCCACCCACCCCGCCCAAACTGGGCAGTTTGATCCACCCTGGTCGCCCGAACTGGGCAGTTTGATCTGCCCGTCCCGCCCAAACGGGACAGTTTGATCCACCCCATCCGATCAAACTCGCAGGGTCGAGTTTCATCTGCTCAAACTGGCGACCTCCCTGAGGCCGGATTTCCATGCCAGATCGCATGATTTCCAGCATTGACTCAGATCCGTGTGAATCATCGTTTTTTTGCTCCAGGATTGTATCAAATCTGATGCATGCGACGCTAAGTTCATTGCCCAGACCAGTTCAGATGCACCAAGAGTCAGAATGCGATTGACATGTTTGAGATGCATATAGAAGTTCACGGTATGATATTGCATCGCTGATCAAATACCCCCACAAACGTTTCATCACTCTCCTCCTCCCCAAGAGGGCCCTAAGAAGCTTTCTTGCGCCCTCTTGGAGCTCCTTGGAAGCCTCCACGAGAGCCCGAACTATTCTGGTGGAGTAGGGCCGCGCTTTCCCAAAATAGTCGAGGCCTTCGTCAGCCGCGGGGACGCATATAACTCACCTCATTGTTACATACACCCCCTGGTGCCCCAAGAGGACCTAAGAGGCCATCGCGCGCCCTGTTGGAGGCCCTTGGTAGCCTCCAAGACAGCCCCAAGCGTGCCCCAAGACGGCTCTAGGAAGGCCGCAGGGCACATATAGCTCACCACCCCTTGTGCTATACCACTCTTGTGGCCCCAAGGTGGCACTGAGAGCCCTCTTGTGAACCTCAAGGTGCCCTCTTGAAGCCCTCTTGTGAACCTCTTGGAGCCCTCTTGGGAACCTCTTGGAGCCCTCTTGTGAACCTCAAGGGGCCCTATTGGAGCCCTCTTGTGAACCTCTTGGAGCCCTCTTGGGAACCTCTTGGAGCCCTCTTGTGAACCTCAAGGGGCCCTTCTTTTCAAACTTTTCCGACGGTGGCGCCAGCCTATCCTGCTGGAAACTTCATGGCAAGGGCGCCTCTCCCGCCATCGCCGGAGGTCGGGCCAGCTCCCAGTCGCAGCTGCTGGCCGCTGCCGCCGCCAGGGCTGGCGGCGAAAGGCAAAGGCTGGGGGGTGTGAGGTCTCCTATCCGCTCTGCGTCTTCCTCTCCTCGTCCTCGTCCTCGTCATCCTCCTCCCCCTCGTCCTCCTCCTCCTCCTCCCCCATGTCCTTCCCCTCATCCCCCTTCCTATCTTGTCCAAAAAAATTGGTTCGAGAGGTCTCCTCCGGAAAAGCGCTCAGGCATCTGCGCCTGTCTCTCCTCCTCATCCTCAACTCCTATGCCTCTATCTGCGACTTCACGCGTCGCTTCATCAAGT